TTCTATTTATGACATTCAGTGGTTGGTGGGACAGTGTCTGATGGCTGAATGAGGAAGTCAGATTAGACTTACTGAAGATAGGTTTGCTGGGAACAGACAAACTGCGGGGGGGGGGGGGGGGGGGGGGCGCCAGACCACTCTCCGGCCCGTGGAGATGGTCCTAGGATCCGTAGGTGCAGGGAAGGACCAACCGAATGAACACAAGACACAAGAGACAGAATGCAGCTTAGAAACAGAGAGAAAAAGGGACAGACAGCAGACAGGATAGGAGAGGACAGGACAGAACTTTATTCAGGGCAGCAGGGGCTTAAATACCTATCAGTACAGGAAAAGCACAATGCAGTTACACAAAAGGGTCGGGTCGTGCCCATATGTGGTTAGGAAAGTTACAGAGTCTATAAGTTTGATATACCATGCATTACAAAGTTTATACCAAGTTAATCATTGTCAGTTACAGCCATGACAGATGTTTTCTCAGGATAACCAGACATAGCACAGGCTTTACCTGCCATAGGTCAAGATAGCCATACCTAGCACAGGCACATAGTCAGTTAAAGGGCCAGCTTCCCACAAGAAACAGGAATATCTGCAGAAGACACACTCTTTCTGCCACTTGCCTTCCTTCTTGTAGTCTCAGGAGGTGACCTTGCAGAGGACAAGGACGGAGCCAGCTGCAGAGGTGAGCAGGTTTGGGGTGTGTGGCAGTCTTGCAGGGTGGTTGCGAACTCTAAACAAACCAGAGTATGTATGTACACCCTAGGATTCACATCTTGAAAGACACTAAATGCTTTTGAACAATGGCGGTTAAAGCATGGGCTCTGAGTAACTAAAAGGGCACTTCATGTTTCTGTCTCTAAATGGGACCTTTTTCATCTCTCTCCATCCTGCTTGCCTTTTTTTTTCCCTCGCTTAAGGACCTAATCTTCTATGCCTGCAACAGTTCAGAAACAATATATTCCATGTATCCAGATTTCATCCTTTGTCAACCTACCTTGGGTACAGTTAGGGCTAAACCCTCGCCTTAACCTGTCCCCTAGCCCAGCCCTACCATAACCCCATCCCAAACCCAAACCCTAGCCCCAACTTCCCACAGCAACCCCAACCCCATTTCACAAGGCTTACCAATAAACCTACATCTTAGCTCTGACTTCCCCTGACTGAATTATAGTCCCAGAACCTAATCGTAGTTCACTAACCTCTAAACCTGTACACACAATCACTTACCTGCAACTTGCCTGTTTCTTAAGCTATGTTGTGAACCATTTTGGGTCTTTTAATATTTGGCTCATTTGGGGGACACACCTGTCAGTGCTCAGGGGTTACTCCTAGCTGTGCACTAAGGTATTACCCCTGAAGGGCTCAGGGGATCAAATAGGGCGCCAGGGATCAAACCCAGGTCAGCTGCATGCAAGGCAAACACCCTATCTGCTGTACTATCACTCCAGTCCCATGTGTGTTTATTACTAAGAATCAAACTACTATGTTGAGTTAGGAATGAAGTAACTGTGTATAACTTTAGAAGGAATTATGTGAAATAAGCCAGAGAGAAGGAAAAAAGCCATATTGTCCCACTCATGTGTGCTATACAAAGATGGAACCTTTCTTAGGAGACTCCTACCAACCCATGGAACACTTCCTGCTCTTTTCTTTTGATGGAAGAGCAGTGACAGTGGTCTCTGTGTTTGTCCATGGTTCCAAGGCTCTTCAATATTTTTAAGAATGAAAATATTGAGTAATAAAGATGCTCAGGCTCAGAGTTACGAAATAGGAAAGTTTATTGGAAAGTAGAAGAGAAATTCCCCAGCAGGGGAGCAACTCAGATAGGACTAAGTATGGCTTATTTTGTGGGGGCTTTATAGGAAGACTAGGTCTCTGTGTTACTTACCAAAATATTTGAATATTCCTATTTGTTTCCCAGAGATGTCTTGTTAATTTAGGGCCTATTCATGTTACTAAGATTTACATCTCAAATTCCCACATAGGCTAATGGGAACGGTCTCTTCATTTTTTAAGACCTTTTAGGTTATATATTTTACCATATTCCCAGATGTTGCCCCTTTGTCTTAGTCCCCTATGAGCCCAAGGTCTGGCAGTAGAATTTATGGTCTTGGGAAAGACTCAGAAAGAGGACAGGGATTTGCAGGAATGTTTAAAATGTAAGATGAGGACAGCTAAAATGAAGCTGCTCACAGAAGCTACAAGGAGAAACTAAATCTTCCTCTTTCACATTTCCCTTCTCTTAAAATCTTCTGAATTCAGAAAAAAAAAAAGAGGCGGGGTGGGGGCATGCACAGTGAAAAAATGAAAGCAAATCATTGGTTCTGTCAGCAGAATTGGGGTCACTAAGCAGAAGGAGGAATGGGTGGATGACATCAACACTACTGTTAATAAATACAAAAAACTATTTATTTTATGATCCTTGTGAATGGCAATGGCCAAAATAAATATGAACATATATTCTTAAAAATAAAAAAATCAAGTCACTTATGGGATAGGGGTATGGTACAGTTGTAGAGTACAGATGCCTTGTATGTTCAAAACTCTGGGTTCTATACTGGACATCCTTCTCCACCCTGCCCCTTCCCTTCTCCAAAAAATAAAAGAAAAAAAACCCTCTCAATGCATTGTCATGACATTTAAACTGTTTTTTCAAAAATATTTAATCCTCCTATATTAATGGAAAGACCCACAATGGTCCAATGGTTACAAACATGGTTGAATCAGAGCTTAAGCCTGAAGCTAAGTCCAGGGTTGGGTGTAAGGAGGCATCCAGTCAAATCACCAAAGCAAACACAGGGAGCAAAGGCTGGGGACCAAGGGTCTTACTTTCCCACAGAAACAATGTGACTAGGGATCCCTAGCATAGTGCCCTTAAGGAAGATTCAATTCCTTATATGTGTCAATGATGTTTACAAAAGAAACCCCCCATGAGGTCTTCAGTGTTCTTCCTAGAACACTAAGACAAAATGATCCTTTTAGCAGTGCCAGATTTTCCTCCCTCTCTTCTAATCCTACAACTCACCCTGACCTACACCCTTAAGATGTCTAGTAACATAGGATACTACTATCTATCTTTTTTTCTGTTTTGTTTTGGGCTCACATCCAGTGGTGCTCGGGGGCTATTCCCAGCTCAGTGATCAAGAGTCACTGCATGAGATTCCAGGGACAGAACTTGGGCCTCCTTCCTGCATTAAAAGCATGTGCTCCAGTCCTCTGAGCCCTCTCCCTGGCCTTCCAATAGTATCTTACTCCATATATTCACTCTGAGGAAAACTGTCACTGTCACTGTCCTCCCATTGTTCATCGATTTCTTGAGCGGGCCCGGTAACATCTCCCTTGTGAGACTTGTTGTTACTGTGTTTGGCATATAGAATACGTCACGGGTAAACTATGCCCAGAAATTAACTCCAGTCTTCTGACCCCTATTTGCTCATATATTGGAGCAGGTCACTTTCCTTTTTGGCCCTTCCAATTTGGAGTTAATGCATGTGCTCAAATGGCATGGAATTAAGCAATTAACACAAACACTTAGTCAAAGAACACAAATGATTCTAAGGAAGTTTACTTTTGAAGATTTATGGAGAAAAAATGCAGTCAAGATTTTTTAACCAAGGGCTATAATACAAAAATTAGGGTACATGCTAAAGTTTGGTTCCCCAACACCACTTGGTCCCTGAGCACTGCCTACAGAATGGCCCAGGTTAACTGCTGCCACCTTACAGTTCAAGCTATGCTACAACTCAAGTCATCATCACAACAAATCACCACCCCTGGTTGGTTCAAGAATCACCAGTGGGGCTCCTAGCAGAAACAAGTGATATCAAGAATGTTAGTTCTTAGCTTTTATTGTTACCTTCTGTGTGTATCTATGTACATCAGCTCACTAAAATCTTTGTTTTGATTTCTTGCACTAATCCTCTGAAAGATTTATACAACTGTTTTTACAATAAAATCTTAATATTTATATTTTTGATATGTGTTCTGCACACCTATGGCTTTCTACTTTTCTATAGTCTATACTATAGACACAAATCACATGTAAAAAGATAGACTTAAGAGATAAAGTAGTCAACAATTGTCAAGAGTTTGAGTTACAATAATAGGGCTCCAGATGACACAAATATACAGGATTCATCTGCTTAAAAACAGATATAGTACATCATATTAACTCTTGTACAAGATGCTAAAACACAGAAAAATTCACTTATAATTTTTCTTTATTTGTATAAGAGAAACACCAAACTATTTGACTTATATTGCACCTATACACACATATATATGTATATATTTTATAACCAACTTTTGGTTTGAAAAATCACTGACAACATGTAAATCCAAGCTGTTAGGAAAGATTTAACACATAAAGGAAAAAAGATGTCTTATGCATTGCAAAGAGTTTTTACAATGCAGCAAGAAGGCAATTTCATGGTTAAAACCATGAAATTAATGGAAATTCTTTAATCAGGGTACTAATATAAGAGAATTTACAGATGCCATTTATCTTCCAAAACATCCTTATGTTTCAGAGGTTTCTATGTATCAGAATTATGTCTAGAAGGATCTGTGAACTATGATACGTCAGTAAGTAAATGTCAAACATGCATTTCTCTCCAAGAGAATCAAGTTTGACTTTTAGTTAAAAGGTAGGAAAAATACAACTATGAAGTAACCATCTTTTCAGTACCTTAAAATTACAAATCTAGAGCAATATACATTTCGCAGCTATGCATGCACATAAGTATCCATGATAAAATTGATTCTATTACTAAAAATAGAGCAGAGGTTTAAAAAAAAAGAATAACTCAGTAAAGATTGTCAAACTACAGAGACTGAATGCCAGCAATTACAAAGAGGCTAGAGATATGGGGCTGGAGAGATTGTATAGTGGGTAGGGTGTTTGCCTTGCATGTGGCCAACCCAAATTTGATTCCCAGCATCCCATATGGTCCCCCGAGAACCACCGAGGAGTGGTTCCTGAGTGTAGAGCCAGGAATAACCCCTGAGTATCTCTGGGTGTGACCTCAAAACAAAACCAAAACAAAAGGCTAAGGATAAAATTAATTCTAAATCTGGATGCTTAATTCTACATATCAACTTTCTGTCTTTGAGTTTATTTATATTTTATACTATTCTTTGGGATTTAAAAAAAATAAATTTTGAAACGAACCAATGTTTTGGAATAAGCAGCTATCTTATAGGACCATCTTTTCTAGACCCTTAAACCTGATAAAGATAGAAGGCTCTCAACACAGGCCTGAAGAAGATGGACTTCTCAAGTCAATGTAAGTTACACTGTTCTAAAACAAATAAAATATTAAAATACATATATTTCTTAAGAAAATGTATAAAACAAGTATTTTTTCTCCATATTACAAAAGCTAAAAATCTATGAATTAGTATTATAAGTACAGAAAAATTTCCAACTAAAGTAACACACACACACACCATCACACCATCACACCATCCCTGCAGACTGCCTACACCAAAACCCCCATCTGTCATCCATCTGTGATCTTGTTCACTTCCCCTCTCCTGAGGTACCACCATGCTGACCCTTGCACACCACTCAGCATTCTATGCTGTGTCCAACATCCAGTCACCACCACTGCTGGGTGACAAGGAGTCATTCTGTTACTTACACATAGCACTTGTCTCATTCTTCAAGGGATTCTTCAAGGGATTATTCAATGTTGGTTCTGGGATAAAGAAAAAAAATCTTCGAAATTCTTTTGAGATTTCAGAAAGACATCTCGAACTTCCATCATTTATTCTACTTTCTCCCCACCACTTTTCCTTTCTAAAATTATAACTCACAGCTTAAGATTTACAAACTTGTGCTATGTCTCATATTTTAGAAGCAATATGGGTTAATGACTTCAGGTTTCCTGTTGAATGCAGACAAGTCTATCTCAGGTGAGAAATGTCATCAACCCTCTCTAAGTGCAGAATCAGCACTTCATCACCAGGGAAAAGGAAAAACACCTTCCCTAGGAAGGTCTCTACCTTCTGAGAAAACATGCTTCTGTGCACTTTAACTTAATCAAGTCATATTTAAGGAAATCATACGATTGAATAAATTCAAGAAGACAATTGAGTATTAGAAAAAGCAATGACGAGGGTTCAACACTTCCCTTCTATTTGCATCTATTCCAGGCCATCTTGGAGGCAAGCATTACTTTTCTCTGTAATAAAGCAAGTAATATTTCAGGGGATCTGGGAGAGGGAGGCTCAGGACCTTCTCACGCAGGAAGTTCACTGGGGGATCTGGTTTTGATTCAGACAAGTTTTCCTCTTCTTTCCGCTGCTGCTGTTCCTCTTCTAAGTCCTCACAGCTGTTGTCATCGGAGGGGTTGGATATACGACTAGCAAAGACTTCTTTGTCCAGAAAGACGATTGTTTCCATTCGACGGCGGCGAACTCTCCTCCGTTTAAACTTAGGAGTGTTCTTTAGCCCACTTCCATTTTTGATCACGGCTTCCTGATGAATTATCTTTTTAATGGTACCCCGGATGGCAATGCGAGCCAAGTCCTGGAGGCTGCGAACTGCCAGTGGTGCTGTACATAGAGGAGATGGTCCAAGCCTGTGAGTGAGGCACTGAGCCCATTCTGAAGACCCTCTCCAGCCCCCTGAATGCACCTACAGATCTACAGGAAGTGTAACAGGAATGCAAATGGAATCCAGTTCTCTGATTTGCATTCTGGTGACAAAGGAAAGACATTTTCAAATGCATGGATCCTTAACATACGTAAAGGAAGGCAGTAATACTGACTGTAGGCTGTGTCAGTGTAAAAAGCTGGGGCATTTTCTTGTTTCACTATGCTAGTTACCATAATTAGTCTTGTACTCTATCTCATCTAATAACATAATAAATGTGTTCTGCATTCCATTACCTTTTTTGATAGTACTTTAAAAATCTAAAAAAAAGTGATAGAAGAAAATAATAAATAAAATCTGACTATTTGCTCATTTATGCCGGGGATTGAACCCAGATCAGCCACATGCAAGGCAAGTGCATTACCCACTGAACTATCACCCTGTCCCTCATATAAAAAAAGCATTTTGGGGGCTGGAGTGATAGTACAGTGGGTAGGGCATTTGCCTTGCACACAGCTGACCCAGGTTCGATTCCCAGCATCCCATATGGTCCCCTGAGCATCGCCAGGAGTAATTCCTGAGTGCAAAGCCAGGACTAACCCCTGTGCATTGCCGGGTGTGACCCCCCCCCAAAAAAAAGCATTTTTAAGAACAAAAGTTTAAAATATTTCATGAAGATAATTTATATGTGGCAATATAAGGAAGGGTGTTTCTGGAGGTTTAGTTTTTAAATATGTTAAGTGAATTAGCATCACATTTATTCCTCCTGTACCTAACTCCTCAGAAAATAACCACCCACACTATAGGATACACTCAAACACTGTCCATAATATCCATTATCCAATTGAGGGAAGCCTGTGTAGAATCTCAACATGCTCTTCCTGAGGTCTAGGCTGCACCAGGGTCCCAGGCCCCAAATACCTCCCCCACTTTATCAACACAGGTCCTCCTCTGCCTGTCTTTCTCCTCTTCACTCAGCTCCCGAATTCAACTACACAATCTAAGAACCCTAAGTAGTATCACAAGATTATTATCTGCCCTTTGAAGCCCAAACCTCCAAACCCCAACACCTCAGGGTGCCTTCCATATCAGAAACTTTTCCAGGCCTACCAGACTAAGAATCCTGTCCAACCAGAAGACAGAAAGCTCACAGAGGCAGTGCTGGGGTTGGCTGAGTATAAGGCAAGTGCCTTAACCCCTGTACTATCTCTCTGGCCCCCAATGGTTCTATAATGCAGCTGTACCACACATTGCTCATACAGAAAACCTGCTAGCTCTCCCCCCCCATCCTGTGTGAGGAGCCCTATCTAACTTTTCCATGTGCTCTAGTTCCTTCCACATGTAGAATTCTTATAGAATGTAAAGGTTTCAATGTTGGAGAGGGAAATAGCTCCTTAATATTAAAAGTTCCTTATACATTTTTTTCCCTGCAAATTCTGCTAAGATTAAAAAGATCTAATTGTAAGAAAGGATCTTTTTACTTACGTAACTGGACAAGTCTTGATTTTCCGGACTCTGAATGGCAGGGCTGGATCAGAGGAGCAAAAGAAACAGCCAGAATCTTTTTGGTTTCCCAAGCAGAAGGTCCAGTACGTGTGATCTTAGTCAACTATCCCAAAGAAAAAAATGAGACTATTCAAAAGATTTGCTTTACACAATCTAAAAAGACAAACTATCAATGAAACAACCAGAGAGTTCCAAGAAGTTCTATTGTCCAGATTAGAAAGTGAAAAAAAGAGAGCTGCTCTAAAATAGGACATGGGGCAGGAGAGACAGTGCAGTGGGTAAGTTGCTTGGCTTACACATGACCAACCTGGGTTCTAGCTCTGGCACCCTGAGCACAGCACTAGGAGTAAGCCCTGAGCAAAGGCAGGTGTGCTCCCGGGCAAAGATGGATGTGCGCGCGCGCGCGCGCACACACACACACACACACACACACACATACACAAAGACAGTCACTGGTAGTGCTTTACCTCAGATGAAATCTAGGGCTGTTGGGGCTGGAGCAACAGCACAGTGGGTAGGGCATTTGCCTTGCACGCAGCTGACCTAGGTTCGATTCCCAGCATCCCATATGGTCCCCCAAGCACCGCCAGGAGTAATTCCTGAGTGCATGAACCAGGAGTAACTCCTGTGCATCACCGGGTGTGACCCAAAAAGCAAACAAACAAACAAAAAAAACTAGGGCTATTTTTCTATGGTGGGGAGTGGGGAGGGGACAACAAAAAGATGTTCATGCAACAAGAATTTAACAGCCACACATGGAACAAGAGTCTTAGGAATCACTATTACTGAAGGTGAATGTGCTGTCCTGATGTGCAGGCACTAAGCCTCACCCTTGGGAGATGGACACTCTAGGGTCTGAACTTCCCTGAGACTGTGTTTCAGTGGGAATACCTGCAACGTAGATCATCAAAACCTCCTCTGTGACTCTCAGAACTCATAGTACCTTAAGATCTCTACTGCTCAGTACTCAGTCTTCCTATGAATATTGAGGGCCCACATTGGATATAGCACTATTTCTTGCCAGATGTCAAGCCAAGATTAATGCACTGTTGTCAAAAAATGTCTAAGCCAGAAAATCCTCTAAAAACTAAAATTCTGGGAGTCAGGGAGACCGTGCAAAGGACTAGTGCATATGGTCTATATGTATAATACTGGATTTGATTCCCAGAACCCCAAGCTTCCTGGAAGCAATCCCAAAGCAAAGGAAAAACACCTAAAATTCTACGTCATGGATCTTTGAGCTAAAAAAAATAGAGCAGCACCAGGAGCTAAAAAAAATAAAGCAGCACCAAGTTAAACATCAAAATGTTTACTAATTTCATATATACTAGCAAAGAAATTGTTTTCAAAACCTTTTATTTGTTTTGAGGACACAGCCATTGGTATACTCAGGAGTGACTCCTAGCTCTGGACTGGTGGCTGCTCCCAGCAGTGCTTGAGGGACGATGCAGTACTGAAGACAGTAACAGAGTTGGGCATATGCGGGGTAAGCACCTTAACCCCTGTACTATCTCTCGAGCCTCAATCTGCTTTTATTTTTAAATAAAAATACATTATAAACAAAGTTGATAAGCTGCAGGGGAAGGAAAAAGTATAATGACATGCATGGAAACAAATTCTGTAAGCAGTTCTTTACACTCTGGAATCCTGAGTATATTTTACAGTTAGATGGCAATCCCTAAAAACTTTAATTATGAACTGAATGTCGGGTTAACCTTACAGTACAAGTTATTTTCCAGTGCTATTTTCCAGTGATGTTAAAACATAATATGGGGAGTTTGCTGAAGGCTGATGCTTTTCATGCAGAAGGCCCAGGTTCAGTCCCCAGCACCGCATAGTACCCCTATACAACACCTGAGTAACACCTGTGTAAGAGTAACCCATAAGCACCACCAGCTGCGGCCGCAAAACTAAAACAAAATAATAAGACGTCACTAGCAGAAAATAAGCTTAGTAATTAGGAACCAAGACAGCCTGAGAAAAAGCTGATGTAGATACAAGACTCAAGAAGTGAGAAGAGAGGGGCTGGAGTGATAGTATAGCAGGTAGAGCGTTTGCCTTACACGTGGCTGACCCAGGTTCAATGCCCAGCATCCCATATGGTCCCCTGAGCACCGCCAGGAGTAATTCCTGAGTGCATGAGCCAGGAGTAACCCCTATGCATTGCCAAGTGTGACGCAAAAAAAAAGAAAAAAAAGAAATCAGAAGAAGGGCTGAAGCAATAGTAGAGTGGATACTTGCCTTGCACACACAAACCTGGGTTTGATCCCTGGCACCCAATATGGTCCCCTGAGCCTGCCAGGAGTGAACCCTGAGTGCAGAGTCAGGAGTTAAGTCATAGCACAACTTGGTGTGGCTCAAAAAAATACAACAACAATGAAAATTACGTGGTCCTGACTAAATCGGAAGCACAGGTACACCTCATTCAACTATACTTAACTTTATTGTGCTACAAAGATAAATGTGTTTCCTGAAATGGAAGGTGTGAGCCACTGAGCTTGGAGCCAGTCTGTCCATACCATTTTTTCTGTTGTTGTTGCTGACTGTGTTGTTGCACACCTGACTGTGTTCAGGGATTACTCCTGGCTCCACACTCAGGGATCTCTCCTGGCAGTGCTCAGTGGACCATATGCAGTATGAGGGATCAGACGTGGGTCACACACGTGAGACAAGAGTTTTGCCTGCTATTCTATCTCTCCAGCCCTGTTGGTGCCATTTTCCAAACAGAAGGTGCTAATGTCATGTCTGCAACACAACTGGGGGATTCTCCCAATATTTCAAATTTTTATGACTATTAAGTCTGTCATGGTGATCTTCTAGCCTGTGACCTTTAATACGATGGCTCACTGTTTTTGGGGTTCCACACACTGTGCCCACATTCAGAACTTAATGTGTGCCCTAGCACTCCATCGAGCCCTGTCCCCCACACATCCTTTCCTCTCCCCCCTCTTGATTCTGAGACAAGCAATACTGAAATATGCCCGTGAAGAGTCTTCCCATGGCCTCTCAAGTGGTCAGACCTAAAGAAGACTCCCACTTCTCTCTACATAAAAAACTACAAATGACAAAGCTGAATGAGGAAGGCCCAAAGCTGGGCCTCTTTTACAAAAGAGCCAGGTGGTCGGGGTCAAGAAAAGTTCTGGCAGAAATGAAAGGGGCTGCTGCAGAGAGCACCTATGTGATGTGGGTGTGTAGCAGCCTGACGGCTAGAGTTAGATGGGATGTGTGATCTCCATACGGTGGTCTCCTGAGCCCTGGAACTGCAGGTCTCACTGAGACCAGGCCCTGGCTCACGTCGCCTCCACGAGGTGGACAGAGGCAAAGAAGCTGCAGGAGAAAAGTCCGGGGTTGGTTCCTGAGGTTCAAGGAGGCTGATGGCAGCTGAGGCAGCTGAGCTGACCAACCAAGCAACTGCAGCCAGTTCTCCAGAAGATCTAGCTGAGAACCTGAAGAAAGAAGCCCCACTGAACAGCAGATTCTCCTAGAGGGCGCCTTCTGCCCTGAGAGGCGGCCAGAGGGGACGTCCCAGCTGGGGACAGAAACTTTGAAGTGCAGCCACCTCTCCTGCCAGAAGCTAATGCAGCTGTGACTTGAAGTTTAAGCCAGGGCTTGTTTCCCCCAAACCCTCAGAACCCTTAAGAATACAGGGGGCAGGAGGGGAAAGGGGGCATGGACACCAGTAGGAGGGAAACTGGGTACATTGGTATTGGGAAATTGTACACTGGTGAAGGGCTGGATGTCAGAACACTGTATGACTAAAACCCAACGTAAACAATTTTGTAACTGTGTATCTTACAGTGATTCAATAAAAGGGGAAAAATGAAATTGTTAAAAACTCATTCTAAGTCTATTCTACATGTACCATCCAACGGGCATAACAAAGCCTGAGAGTACATAGGCATGACTTCCAAAATAGCTGACGCTCACTATTGAGGCCTACTTCTCAGAAAAACAGGATTTCTTTCAAAATACTCCTAGCTCTCTGACAGCACAACTGTCATCCCAAAGCTCTGAGCAAAAGGAACGAGGAGGAGAATGCTTTACTACCCGGAACACAACCTCCATCATGCAGCCCAAGGATCAAGGAGTCATTTTTAACTTTCAAGTCTGATGAGTTAGAGGTACATGCCAGCTGTCTCTAGATAATGAATACTAACATTCAAACAATTATTTCATTGGTCACCACCTCTGGCAAATGCAAGAGAGTAAAGCTATTAAGAACAATGGTACAAAGAAACAGAAAATCAAAATTTATCCTGTCTCTTCTTATATATTATATCTCAAGATAACCAAACAACTAAAGACAAAAGGGTTTATTTGGGGGGGGGTTGCTTTTTTTTTTTTGCTATTTGATCACACCCAGCAGTGCTCAGGGCTTACTCCTGGCTCTGCGGTCAGTGATCACTCCCAGGGGACCCTATGGAATGCAAAGGATCAAAACCAGGTCAGGCGCATGCAAGGCAAGCACATTATACTATCGTTATAGCCCCAAAAGTTTGTTTGTGTTCACTGACGTATAGCCACTACAAAATAAAGAAGTGAATGATGGAATCAGAATGCTTTTTCTACAGCCCTTAGTGAAATAGGGGTCACACCACACAATACTGGCATCAGGAAATAGATACAGGAGCCCAGGTTGACCCTGAACAAAACAAACTTAAGCAGCATGGGTCCACTTATGCACAGACTTTTCTTCTACCAACGAATCTCACATTCATGGATTCACGGAGAGCTGACTGAATGTCACACTCTTTTTTTGTGTTTGTTTTTGTTTTTGTTTTTGGGTCACACCCGGCAATGCACAGGGGTTACTGGGTTACTCCTGGCTCTGCACTCAGGAATTACTCCTGGTGCTCAGGGGGGACCATATGGGATGGTGGGAATAGAACCTGGGTCAGCCACATGAAAGGCAAACGCCCTACCCGCTGCGCTATTGCTCCAGCCCCCATACTCCTATTTCAAAAGGGGGTATACTCACATTTAAAAAAGACGTCCCTGGGGCTGGAGCAATAGCACAAATCCCAATTTATAGAGAAAACAGAAAACAGAATCTGTGAGCCAAAGACATGGCTACCAGAACTTTCACATAATGATTAATTTTCTAAAAAGATTAACTGCTCAGAAAAAGTGAAAACAGAAAGAGAAGTTACAGATCATAGATTCAAAAATATAAGAAATACATCACAAATGCAATACATAAACCTTAATGAAGTCTCCCTTAAGCTATCACAAGTGAAATCTTTTTGTTCATTCTGTTTTTTAAAAAACAAATTTTGGGGGCTGGAGCAATAGCACAGCGGGTAGGGCGTTTGCCTTGCATGCGGCTTACGTGGGTTCTATTCCCAGCACCCCATGTGGTCCCCTGAGCACTTCCAGGAGTAATTCCTGAGTGCATGAGCCAGGAGTAACCCCTGTAAATTGCCAAGTGTGACCCAAAAAGAAAAAAACAAAACAAAACAAATTTTAAAGGGCCAGGAAGATAGCATGATCCCTTGAGCACCACCAGGAGCAACCCCTGGGGATGTCCTCCACAACGCACACAAAGATTACTACAATCAATGAATTTGGAAAAATTAGAATACTGGTCAGACATTTGGAGATGCTAAGAAATTGCTCATTATCTTTTTGGTTGATAATCATTTTTAACCATGTTTATTAAACGAGAATCCTGGGACTGAGAGAGAATGCAGCCGTTAAGGTGCACACGCACACCTAGTGTGTGCCTATTGTGGTGCGATTCCTGGCATTATATGGTCCCCTGAGCATTGCCAGGTTCGGCACTGGAAGACCCAGGTATCTCCAGTACTACGTGCCCCAAACAGTATCACCTCCTCAGGCTCTTGCGACCAAGAATTGCTGGTGGGGCCTCTGGATCTCCTGAGCACCACTGGGCACAGCCCCCCCAAAAAATCCCAACACTTTTACAGATACATGCTGGAATATATTATACATATTATATATATATGTAAATACATAATATATATTAATGTGTATGTTATACATATGTATGTGTGTATAAAGAAATTTCAATCAGGGATATTCACTAAAACCTTTTTATAATAGTAAATAATGGTGAGAACCACAGTCTACCTTATGTCCAGTTGTAAGAATATAAGAACTAAATAATACACTGACCATGGCTATCAATTTAATAAATAGGCTACAAATAAGCACCAAAAAAGTATCAAAAATTCAATGACTTCAAACTGTTTTCAAACTGACTTTGAATGCTTTTAAGTAAAACACTAAGTTCTAAAGTATAAGTACAATGACCTTTGTGCAATAGGTTATAAGAAGAAAACTCAAGAGAGATACTGATAACTTATTATTAGGGTTGGGATTATGAACAATTTTTTGTGCCACATCCAGCAATGCTCAGCACCTACTCCTGGCTCTGTGCTCAGGAGTCATTCCTGGAGGCCTTGTGGGACCTTATGGGATTGGGGAGCAAACCTGGGTCAGCAGTGTTACAAAGTAAATATGCCATACCTGCTGTACTATCATTGTGGCCCCAGAACAATTTTTCTCCTGCCCTGAAACATAACAGTTTATGTTTTTCTGAATTTTTTAAAATAAATGATTATAAAATTAAATGCCAACATTTAAAAAATCACAGGAAATTATGCAAAATTACACAATCTCCTGATTTTCATCATTTGTTTCTCCTAATTCTTTGTGACTCAGAGACATTCTTCCTGGTGACTACCTGGAATACAATTAATTTAACTCATTTAATACAACCTGCTTTTACCAATGAAAGTATCTAAAACATTTATGACAGTATCGAAACCATATATGTCTAAAATAGCAGACATGGGCAACATTCCTACTAAGCAAGGGATTCCTGGGAACACTCACCATCACAGATTAATAAGTAAACTAACAATGGGAATGTATTAACTAATGATTTATATCTGTAAAGAACAGTTACAGAAGGTGGGTAAGGGAGAAGGGGAGGGAGAAGGAGAGGAGAGGCCAGAAGAGAAGAGAGTAAGGGAGTGAGGAGGACAGGACAATTAAGGCTTCAGTGCAGTGAATACCCTGCCCAGGCAGGTCAATGTGCCCACTCCCTAGGCAATATTTAGGGCCAGAGCCTGCTCTAGAATCCTCAATTGCAACATGGAGGGTTCTCAGGAGGAAACAAGCATTAATGGGTGTGAACTTCCTAGTCGATGTGCAATAGTCACGAAGGGGGTCTGACCTTCTCTTCCAGTGGCATGACAAGGATGCCCCCCACTTTGAGAAGGTTCTTCATGTATTCCTCATGTTCTTTCTGGACACCAGCCCCACAGTACACACGATCATATTGACAACAATCTGGAGAAATCTCCAGGCAATTGCCAGTAACAAAGGAAGGCTCACAGAAATCAAACCTGAAAGTAAACATTTTCTGTAAGTAAATGTAATTTATCCAGTCTATATAGTCAATCTATGCTAGCCATAAGTTATGTTCTAAACATACAAATCCCATGATACAATTGACAAGAAATTAAAAGCCAGAACTTCTAATAATTATACATTTTAAAAGGTAAAAGGTAAAGGCCCTCCCGTTGATCATCGATTTGCTCGAGCGGGCCCAGTAACGTCTCCATTGGAGACTTTGTTGTTACTGTGTCTGGCATATCGAATACTCTCGGTAGCTTGCCGGGCTCTCCGAGAGGGGCGGAGGAATCAAACTCAGGTCGGCCATGTTAGAACCCAAGAAATTCCAAATACAAAAACAATGAAACCAAGTATCCAACTTTAGTGAATCTCCAACCACTGTTTTTTTGTAATTCATCATCTTATTAAAGATCTACTAGACATATGAGGGAGGAAAATACATTTTTTTCTATAAAAGTTAATTCTGAAAATAAGAAAGTTAATGCCTTAAAGTGGGAAGAGTTAGGAACATATGCTGTTTAAGACAAAAGCAAAAATACTGTTTTAAAACAATTAGGTCATAAAATGTCTCTACTGAAAGCATGAAAACTGAGCAAGGAGCACAATGTTTCCATCTCTTATAATGGGGAAAATTCCCTTTACTTGGGTTAAAAAAAAAAGAATACATATATCAATCTGATTCTTCTATCAATTTATTCATATTCACCAGCATATAAGAACTAGTAAACTGATTTCTCTACTTATAACAAAAAATCTAAGGCATTAATTAAGTCACACCCCAATCCAATGTCTGATCTTACTTGTCAAAGCTTTCACTTGTTCTGATGAAGAAGTCTAGTTTCTGCTTTGCATACTCTATCACATCTGAATGGAGCTCCACACCGTGGTTTACACCAAAAGGACCTAAAAGGTTTCAGAATAAGCACTTTTAGAATTAGGACAAGAACTCTCATTATTTCTATTTTATCAAATGCAACCTGTTCAATTTTGCATACATAATTTCATCAATTCATAAGCTTTGAAGTAGGACCCCATTTCTGAGCATAAATGACCTAAGCTCATCTTTAAGTCTTCAAAGTAACTCCTGCTTGTTTCTTCCTTATGATGCTCACCCTGTGACATCAGAGATTTCAGCTTTCTAAAACCTGGGTCTCTTTCCTCTCAAACTTTTAAAGTAATCATTTGAAAATGTGAAAAAGCCAAGGTTTGAAGTGAAAGCCCAAGGTCTTACTAATGAACTAAAGATGAAAGTTGTATTTGCAAATAGAACAGGATATGGGCCTCTTTTCCACAAAAGGTCCCTGAATACACTCAAATGTTAACATTTTAATATCAAAAGAAATTTATCACTAATTTGAAATAAAGCCATGAGACAAGTTAATATGAGTTCACTTAATGATGAATGTTTCCAACACATGAAAATATCTAAAGGTTAACTCTGGGTGAGAACTACTGACACAAACAGCTAAAATAAACCACTTTATAAGAAGGTTAAAAACCAGACAATTCTTTGTACTGATAATGACAAAAGTAGTCACCTTTCTGGAGGGGTGGGGGGCAGTTTAACTTCTAAGGTGCTGATTCTACTCTACACCCTTTTCTGGGTGGTGCTTACAGGGAGACAGACTCACATGTAAAACTGTACTAAGCTCCACTTCGTCGAATCAGTACAAGAGGTAGCAGATATTTGTGGACTAGAGGTACCCAACTCTGTACTAGAGTTAAGTGGCTTTTCATGTACTGTGAAAGGCTGGAGCCTTTTCATGTACTGTGAAGGGCTGGAGCGATAGCACAGCGGTTAGGGCGTTCGCCTTACAAGCGGCCAACATGGCCGACCCGAGTTCGATTCCTCCACCCCTCTCGGAGAGCCCGGCAAGCTACCGAGAGTATTCGATATGCCAGACACCGTAACAACAAAGTCTCCAATGGAGACGTTACTGGGCCCGCTCGAGCAAATCGACGATCAACGGGAGGGCCTTTACCTTTACCTTTACCTTTCATGTACTGTAGAAAGCAGCTATTCGTGCACTGGCGGTGAATGTATACTGGAAATAACTGTACTAAAATACACAGCAACTCATGTCCTGGAGGAGGGTAAGTTACTGCTCATGTACCAGAGTTAAGACAGATCTCCAGTGTTTTCGATCTGCATTGAAACCAGGAAGGCATGTGGGTCTTTCACAGATAGGCACACTGGGGCCAGAGAGATAGTGCAGGGGTTAAGGCACTTGCCTTGTCTGCGGTTGACCCTAGTTTGATCCCTGGCACCAGACTATCTCCCAAGCACAACTGGGAGCAAGACACCAAAGATTAGCCTCCAAGCACCATTGGGTATGGCTCTACCTCTCCACCCCTCAAAAAAAGAAAAAGTTAAAAATAATATAAAGGCACAGTGGAGGCTCGTGCCCTATGGTCCCACACAAACAGTGAAAGTGAACACATCTCTATGCACTCTATCTTTACCATCTGTATGTGGGTGTATTTGGCACAGCAGCAGAGGACAAGGTCCCTGTCTTCAAGTTTACCTTTTAGCATCTCATACACAGACTGTCTCATAAAAAATAGGTATGAGATACTGATGTTCTAACCTAAAAAAAAATAAGGCCAATTCAGAGACCAGAGTGATAGTAAACGAGGTAGGGCGATTGCCTTGCACATAGCTGACCTGAATGACCTGCACACCACCGACCCAGGGTTTAATCCCCAGTATCACATATGGTCCCCAGAGTCCACCAGGAGTGAACCCTGAGTGCAGAGCCAAGAATAAGCCCTGAGCATCGCCAGGTAGGACCCAAAAAGCCAAAAATAAAAAAAGAGTAAGTAAGTCCAACACTTTTTTTCAAATGGTCAATTCTGGGATAGGGACACAGTTCAAGGGGTTGGAAATGCTGAATGCAGCCCTGGTGGCCCCTTCTATCCTGGGGCACAAGCAGCACTGCACTGCTGGAGTGAACACCAAGGCTTCAGGACTGTAGAATCAGGTCAAATATCAAAGGGGATAACCCCAGGCACTCTATAGTACTGCTTGGGAAAAGAAAAATAAATAAATAAATAAAAAGTACAAGTTCTTTTTGGTATTAGTACATCTAATTTTTAAAAAAAACGGGGAAAAGCTTAACTCCAAAAAAAACCTTTACATTATCCAATTTTAAAAAAGAATGACAAGAAAATTTGGGTAACTGAATTAAATCAGAAAATTTTTCCTTTAGTTCAGACAGGCTAACATTACTCAGTGTGTCCTCCATTGTCTAGGATCTACCTTATTTTTTTAACATGTGAGCCATACCCCATTATCAGCTGTATAAATGAATATGGAGAATTTTTTTGGCAACTTATATAATATGAATGTTCAATTTATAGACTCATTTTATATACCTTTATGCCCCACAAAGGCCCTCCCATTGTTCATCGATTTGCTCGAGCGGGCCCAGTAACGTCTCCATTGGAGACTTTGTTGTTACTGTGTCTGGCATATCGAATACATCACGGGGAGCTTGCCAGGCTCTGCCGTGTGGGCGAGATACTCTCGGTAGCTAGCCGGGCTCTCCGAGAGGGGCGGAGGAATCGAACTCGGGTCGGCCATGTTGGCTGCGTGCAAGGCGAACGCCCTACCGCTGTGCTATCACTCCATTTCTCAGGCGAAAAGGAGTCTCAAGTGGAGGAAGCTTAAGAAGCCCTGGTCAAGAAGGGTGTGCTAATCAAACCAGGAAGGTGTAGATGTGAGGGGACAGAAAATAGGAGGGGGTCCGTCTTAAAAATCTTCCTTTCCCTCTTAAAATCCTTCCATTCTCCTTTCCGGTACCCTATAACTTCTAAGACTCCAAAAGTGGAAACAGGGCCAGCAAGCTCTACTTCTGCAGCCAAGATACACAGCATACTCCAAAACTCTCTCTATATTTACCTAGAATGAGTCCCACCATGGAGCTGAGGTACCCAGTGCCACTGCCCAGGTTCAAGAATGAGAGCCCAGGCTGCAGGTCCAGGGCTTCCATGACCTCTGAGTAGATGCACGGAGCTGAGAGATGGATGTTCCCATGTTTCCATGCCAAGTCTTTATAAGCATTTTCCTTAAATTCTTCAAGGTAGTAGTCAGCACGATCAATCGCTCGGAAGGCCTGCTCTACCAGTTCTGTCCGGATGTACTGGGCTTCTTTGAGATTATCTATGAGCTCATCGTTGTCTTCCCCCGCACTCACAGCACCTCCCATCTTGGAGACCACTCTTAGATACCACTACAAGGAAATAGTGTTTTTAAAGAGCTGTTGACATGCAAAGTGAGAACAGAGTCATCACATTTCAAACAAGGCTAATTCTGAAAATAATGCAGGAAAAACTCCCAATTGTCAATTCCAACCTCACACACCACTGAGGATGTCGGGTTCAGAAGAAAAATTTAAAATGACTTAAATTTGAAATTCTAGTCTCCTTCCAGAAATAATTTTGTAATTTTAACATCAAACAAGTCATATGAATCTGAGATACTTAACAAAGAACCACTCTAAAATATTCAAGTCACTATCACTGTCCTCCCTTGTTCATCGATTTGCTCAAGTGGGTCCAGTAATGTCTCCATCATGAGACTTGTTGTTACTGTGTTTGGCATATCGAATATGTCATGGGTAGCTTGCCAGGCTTTGCCGCGCGGGCGAGATACTCTCGGTAGCTTGCCTGGCTCTCCAAGACGGGCGGAGGAATCGAACTCGGGCTGGCCATATTGGCTGCGTCCAAGGCAAATGCCCTACCCGCTGTGCTATATTCAAGTACAAATTCAAAATTTTACTAAAAGTTGTTAACCTGAACAGTCACTTTTGTTTTGTTTTGGGGGTCACAGTTGGCTGTGCTCAGGGTCTAATCCTGGCTCCGCACTTAGGATCACTTCTAGTGGGACTCAGAGGCCATATGGGGTATTATAGATCAAACCTGGGTCAGCCATGTGCAAGGCATGCACCCTACCCGCTGTACTGTCACTCCAGGCCAAAAGTCAATCACTTAGAAAATTAACTTATAAAATAAAATTGACTTATATAAAATTAACTTATAGAATATAGATCTGCCTTAAATATATTCACATATGAAAAAGTCACTGAAAGTTTAAAAGGAGAGTTGATATATCTAGAAGTCATTGTTCTACTGTCAACTTTACTTTAAAAAGCTCAAATGCTGTCAATTTTTTTTTAAAAAAAATATTTCAACCAGTAAATAAATCTTTAAAAAATTGAGTTCAGGTATAAACAATATATTATTCATTGTTTGAAATTCAAATTTAACTGAAGTCCTACACTTAATCTCCTACATACATTTATATGTAACATATAAATATCATCAAGCAGTCTATTCATGTTGACTTGCATATTCTAATACACAAATTTCAGTCACTGTGATGACAAAAACCTCATTATGACAAATACACACACACGTAAACAATCTCATTTTGGAACGGGAGCTGATACAGCTCTTGCACTCCTTGTATTTTAGTGGATAGCTAAAATACACTTCCAGTCATTTAACAGTAAAAATGGTATCTATTACCTCCTTCTCAACAGAAGCCTGCAAGGAGAAAAAGTGACAACTTTTGAGCTACCCAGTAAAATGCACCTTTAACTATTTTACACAACCCTCTCGGAGCACTTACTCTTCCTAAAACCATGGAGGCACCGTTTCCAGCTTTATACTTAGCCCTAATAGCTTTTTCAAATAAATGTTTTACTTCACATAAACTGGTTTACAAAATGTCTAATATGGTGTTGGGGGGTGGGGAAAGGGGGAAAGAAAACACCAGACAACACAAACACATGCATTTTCTGAATCAGAACATCTGTTAGAACCTATTCTAACTGCACTATTACAAAGTTTACACATGCTTTCCTCACAAACTTCTTCATAGAGGTGTGGGGAAGAGATGACACAGACACAGCCACACATACAACCAGCAATTGTGGTGGAAAAGGGTTTTCCAGGAATGAAATCACCCTGCACACAGCGATTCTTCACTGTTTTAGAGCAAGCACTAAAGGTGTAAAAGATAAAGAGGGGCATGAAACCAAGACACCCACCCCTAGAGTTGGAACAGTTCACCTTCAATATCTGTGTGCTGAATGTTTGTTAATCAGTAAGGTGGTCCAATGATTGTATGTCCACTCCTGTTTTAAGTTGGTTCAGAGCCCTGGTTAGATTATAGCGAAGGAATCAAGTGCTAGGAGTTTAATCTTGGATAAGTCAGAGTTTTGACACTAAAGCATACACCCCTCATCTAAATTATCTTGTCAACATGGAGGTCACTGATTGAAGGTGGAGTCCTAGGGTCACAGAGCTCAGAGAGTTAAGAGTACATGGTTTGCATGTGCAAATCCCAGGTTCAATTCCCTAGCACTGCATGGTCCCCTGAGCACCACCTGAAGTAGTACACAAACCACCCCCCCCCAAAAAAGACCAAAGTAACGTGGAGTCCTCTTTTAGCTGCTTAAAGTTTTCTTAGCACATGCCCTCCAAGCTCGGTGAAAAAACCTAGCTGAAAGCCTGTTATATTAACATTCTATACGGTGTTCTAAATCAACACCATCACTCTATCTTCAGACAAACACAGACTATATACTGTACATATTTCACTTTTAACAAAGTACTTATCACTGATTTCAAATTCTCCCCTCTCTGAAAGCCTATTCCATATGCAAGTCTTGACAATTTAGCAAAAATAGCTGCAGCCTTTTACAGGCACCCTATGACAGACCTGTCATGAATTCATTTTTGCTTCACAACATCATGAAGCAAATGAGAACTGAGAATTTTTTTAATTTGCTGTGTGAGGAAAGGGCTGAAATTCTGACCCAAGAACTCTAGCCAAAGATCTGTGTTCCTTATACCACTCAAACACAGCTGTAAAAATTCTCAAGACGATTCCCAGCATCCCATATGGTCCCTCGAGCACCGCCAAGAGTAATTCCTGAGTGCATGAACCAGGCATAACTCCTGTGCATTGCCAGGTGTGACCCAAAAAAAAGAAATTCTCAAGAGAGTACCATTCTTTACCATGTAACACACTGGTACATGGTAAGGAAAATGACAGACTAAGTAACTACTATCTGCTTACCTATCAGATGGTAATAGCAGATGGTAACCCTATCTGCTGCCACTAGGTTTCGTATATGTGACCATGTGGTGAGTAAACTGTGTAGTAATCTAGTACTCCTTCACAGTAGCAACAACCACTATTTATTACTAATCTTGATGTGATCAGTCATAATGCCCAAAACACCAACAACACAACACGTTCAGTGATCCAAACCAAACCTGGATCTAACTACAGGGTCAAATCCATTTTTTCACAGTAATCAGTTTCTGGATGAATCAACAGCAGATTATCTTTGCAATCCTGAATTTATTCATGATCCCACAGTAAATGGTACAGTCCAAAAGTGATTGCCAAGCCTACTGAGAACACCCTGAGCATCAGCAGGAAAGGGAAGGTCTCATGCTGACCCCAAGGGAGGAAGTAGCTATACCCAGGTCAATGCTGCATGAAGCCTGATAACTTGGGTCACAAAATCAACCTACATAGGTTGTCAGAAAACACAGGGAATCCATATTCCAACTTAGATGTGATCGTTTGTTTTATGTTGGTCTGGTTTAGGGCTATACTTAGCAGTGATCAGGAGTTACTCCTGGCTCACAGGTGAGGGATGACTCGTGGCATTGCGCAGGGAAACTTGTGGTAGTCTGGGCAAGCCTCTAGGTCTCCTGGAGGAAGAATATGTGCTCTGGTCTCCTTTGTTCCAAGTCCCCAGGCCCAGGGTGTCAACACTTCTTAAGAGAAATGTGGGTAAAGTAATTCATGTGGACAGTGGGCTGGGGGAAAGGACCTAAACCCACACCTCCAGTGTGTGGAATAAAGGCAACTGACCTCTCTTGAAGATCAGACCTCCTTAGAGGAGTCAGAGGGATTTTTCACGAGCACTTGAAAGGCATGCCATGCATACACTATCCATTCGCCTGATAAAAGGCAGGCCAGTGAAGCATGTTAGCTGAAAATTATTTCAATCAAACACAAAGAAATACTTTCTGCAACTGGAAGTGCAACCACTGAAAAACTTTTGTCTCCCACCCTGGGGATGCCCACGCCAGGTAGAAGCAGACAAGTCCAGGGCCTGAGGCTATTCTTTGAAATTGAACTCCAAGACTTGGGTGGCCCCATTCCCCCACAGCAGGGCCATTCATTCCCAACTGTTTAGAGAAGCCAGGCCTTGCTATGTCCTGGAAGACCAAATATTGTCATTGACCTAAGTTACTCCTTTAGCAAAAGGAACTGCGTATCTCCAACCACTGGAAGGCGAGGAAAAGGGGCATGAGCGGAAGACAGTTTCTTCCACCCAGCGAAAGGCCAACAAAACACAGGGACCAAGACTGGACCTGGCGTCCCTCGCCAGCTACTGCAGTCCCAAGGCTCTGCCCCCACCGCCCGCCCGCCCGCATCGTCATTCCAAGACTTCCAACGAACTGCGAACAGACAGACTGAACACTGGTGTCCGGAGTCAGGGGGAATTACGGGACCCCGGGAGAGTGACCATCACACCCCACTAGGGAGAGACTGAGGAGTGGGAAGGCGCGGGGGACGCCAGGGCCACTCAGAGGTGGATGCAGGGGAGATGCAGCAGCGGTGGAAAGGGGGCGCCCCTGAGGAGACGCCTGAAGAGAAGGCGCGCCCCGCAGTGCAGCCCCCACAAGGGGAGGCGAGGCCGCCCCTGAGGAGACACCTGAGGAGGCGCGCCCCGCGGGGAAGCCCCCACAAGGGGAGGTGAGACGGCCCCGAAAGGAGACACCTGAGGCGGCGCGCCCCGCGGAGAGGACTCCCAGGGGAGGTGGGGCGCCCCTGAGGCGAGTCCGGGCGCAAGGGGCCAGCAGGGAAGGAAGGGGAGGACCTAGGGCAGAAGCCGCCCGCCCGTCGCCGCAGGCCAGGTCAAGGACTGCGAGGGCGGCGGCGGCGGCTCTACCTCCGGGATCGGCCGGCCCTAGCACGAGGCTCGGCCGCCGGCGCCGCGACGGGCAGCTCCTCAGGCGCGTCCCGGCCGTCCGCCTCCCAGCGCCGCGCGGACTCCGCGGTCGCAAACATCCGCCGCCGGCGCGACGCCGGCGCGCAACGGCCCGACTGCGCGTGCGCCAGGAGCGCCGCTTAAAGGGGCCGCGCCGCGCGGCCCGAGCCGGCTCCTCGCTCCCCGCGGCCTGCGCGGGCAGCGTCCGTTCCCGGGCCGGGGTGCCCCGGTCGCGGTCACTCAGCATCTGGGAGCGGCGCGCGGTGCGGTGGTCCGCGCACGCGGCCGTCCTCGCTGGCGAGACCGTCGGCCGCCCGCCGCTGCCCCCTTAAGGGGACCCGGCGCGCAGACCCTCCTCTTCCTCCGCCCGCGCCCTCGGCGGCCTCACCGGCGGGGCCGCCGCCGGCTCCCCGCTCGGCCGCTCCCGGGGCGGCGTCCGCCTCGGCTCCGCGTGGGCCGCGGCTGTTCCCGGGACGGTCCTTCGGGCCTCCCGGGCGCGCCCAGACCCCCGACCTCGCGCCGCCGCGCACGCCTGCGGGGGGCGCCGCCCCGGGAGCGGCCGTCTCTGCGCGCCGGGCGCCAGGGCGCAGCCCCCGCGATGGAAGCGGCCCGCACGCAGCGAGGGCCGGCGCCAGGGTCCCGGTGCTCCGGGCACGGCCCTCTGCCCTCCCTCGACCGTCCGCCGTGCCCACGCGCCTCCAGGCTTTTTTCTCTGGAACTCAGCGCCCCGGGCACCCACCGGGAGCGCACCTGTGGTGGCACAGGCAGGGCTTACCCCTCCCCGGCTCATGGGGAGCACTCGCAGGGGAGCACGGGGAGTTGGGGGGGAGTGGCAGGCAGCCTCGTGGAAGAGCCACACATGCTTGGTGTGTCTGGAGGGTTCCCCAGGCACGGGCGTAGGCGTGCTGGAGGAGGCCCAAGCGGAGCGGAGACGCAGCAGGGGCTCCTGACAGGAGTCCCAGACCGTGGTTTCTGTTGTCATCTTCAGTGTGCAGGCCTAAGACTTCGCGTCCCCGGGGAGATAGAATACAGATCATGCGAATCCACCATTTTAACCACTCTTCAGTGGGATTAAGTCTTCCTGGGGAACAGCTGTCACCACTGCACAGTCCAGATTGTTTCCATTATCCCCAGATGACTCTGAGAAAGATGGAGCTATAGGAGCGAGATTTGCCCCTAGTGCATGAAACAAGGAAGATATGGACAAAGCATGTAGCACGTTCTCAGGGCACTTGATCTTAGACAACAAAACTGTTTCAGCAACTCCTGAGGTAGGGGAAAACAGAGCTCCACCTACCTCTGTGAGTTTCCTGGTGCAGGCGGGCAGCCCTAAACAGAGCCTAGAGAATTCCCTGGACTGAGGAGATAGAATTCGGAATCGAGAGAGAACAGGCAGCTGAGGGCACGGGGCAGGAGACAAGAGCACAGAGAAAAAAACTCATTGATCTGCTACAGGACAAAGTGCCCACCCCCATATACCACCTAATCCGTAGCTAGGCAATACACATGTGAGGCAGAAAGGCCAGGGAAAGATCCACCCAGCAAGATGGAGAAACAACACTCACAAATGCTAGAGATTTACCATCACCTAGCCTGCAAAATGCCTTGATTTCTGAAATAGTGCATGGTGTGCAGAGAAGTTTCCTGTCTCAGTAAGGACTGGTTGCTCCTTAGTCCCTACTAAACAGAAAGTCTTTGTTTGCTGTTGGTTATTTTGTTGTTTTGTTTTGTTTTGTTTTTAGTTGCACCTGGCAGTGCTCAGGACTTACCCCTGGCTCTGCACTCAAGGATCACTCCTGGCAGGGATGGGGGACTATAAAGAGTGTCGGGGATCAAACCTAGGATAGCTGCTTGCCAGGCAAGCAACCCCACTGTACTATCGCTCCAAAGAAAGTCCTTAAAGAGTCAGACTGTCTCCCAGAACACAACTTGAGAATATAAGAATACAAAATATTCATGCGGGGAGTATAACTCAAGTAGTTGAACACTTGAGTGAAACCCGGGGCTCCATCTCCTCAGTACCATGTGCCTCCCCCAACCAATAGGTGTAGCCCTATAACTCAAGTATCAACAAAAATACAGAACTTTCAACATAGTAAAGTCACAATTGCTAGCATCCCATATAAAATTCATGTGTATGGACCAGAGAGATAGTACAGTGGGTAACATTTATTTTGCATGTGATTGACCAGAATTTGATCTGAAACATCCCATATAGTCCCTCAAGTCCTGCCAGGAGTGTTCCCTGAGCACAGACTCTGGAGTAAGCCCTGAGCACTGCAGGGTGTGGCTTCAAAACAAAACCAAACCCCAAAATCCAAAGGAAAATGTGACTCATTATGAAGAAAAAAAACTGAACTCGTCCAAATAGTAGAACAGGTATGCTGTAAGAGGTGGGATAGAGAATACAAAAAGAGGAACTTAAGTATAACTTTTAGAAATGAAAATTTCAATGTCAGAGGTGAAGAATGCACTGGATGGTATTAGTAGCATATTGGACATTGAAGAATGGTTGAAGACATAGAAATAGGCACTGTCCCACATAAAACATAAAGTGAACATTTTTTTATTTGAAAGTTAAAATTTAGACACAAGGCTGACACAAGAATGGAGAAATTAAATCCTTACCTTGGACGTGGCCAACCCCTATTCAATCCCTGGCATCTCCTATGGTCCTCAGAGCACTGTATCAGGAATAAACCCTGAGCATTGCTGGATATGTCATACAAATAAATGAATAAATTTATATATTTATAAAAATATATTCTATAGGGGCTGGAAGCGATAGTATAGCTAGTAGGGTGCTTGCCTTGCACATGGTCAGCCTGGTTTCAATCCCCAGGATCCCATTTTGGTCCTCGAGCATCATCAAGGAGTAATTCCTGAGTGCAGAGCCAGGAGTGACCCCTGAGCATAACTGGTGTGGGGACCCCCTAAAAAAATACAAAATATTTAAACATCCAGAGATAAAGACCATATGCAAGGGAATGTGTATAAGGGAATAAACATATCAATATATCAATGAATTCCCAGATGGAAGTAATAACAAAGAGAAATTTTTTAAATACTGAAAAGAGGCAGGGAGGGGGCAAGGTGACCAGAGTAAACCTGGCCTTCAATATCCAGCAAAAATACTTTTTGTTTTGTTCTTTGAGGTCCCTCTGTGCTCAAAACTTACTCTTGGCTGTGCACTCAGGGCAAGGGACCATATGGGGTGCAGGGTATCAAACCAGGGTCAGTAGCATGCAAGGCAAGCACCTTACCCACTGTACTAATATTCTGGCTCTGCAAAAACATTTTTGAAACCAAACATAAAAGGAGTGTGACATAAATTGTCAAACATTAAGATTAGATTCCTGGGCTGGAGCCATAGTACAGCGGGTCGGGTGTTTGCTTTGCATGTGGCAGACCCAAGTTCAATTCCCAGCATCCCATATGGTCCCCTGAGCACTGCCAGGAGTAATTTCTGAGTGCAGACCCAGGAGTAACCCCTGTGCATCAACGGGTGTGACCCAAAAAGCCAAAAAAAGAAAAAAAATAGATGCCTAGGCACTCATTTCCAAAAAAGCCAGTGTAGCTGTACTTTGCAAGCTCCAAGACCCAGCTTCCAGGAGGACAAAGGATTTAAGCTCCCAAACACACAATCTTCTCTTTCAAAATATCCTGCTTGGGAAAAAATAAAAAAATCCTGCTTGAGTGGCCTTCCAAGCTCTCCTGCTCTAACTAGTGGCCAGATGTTTCAAGTTTACAGTAATGAGTGACCCTAAAAACCCCCAGAGAGTTCACCCTTATTCCCTAATAAAGAGCCTCCCTCTCCCTTCCTTCCTCCCTTTCCCCACAACAACTTGAATGAACTTATTGTGTGTCCTTTGTCATACCGTGTGCATTCCAAGATCTGCGATTAAAACATCCGCTTCCTCAAAGTTCCCTGATGGATTGTGTTAAAGTGTGTCCTGTGATCATAAGAACCACAGGGACAGTATTTGCTTTAGTGAGGAGAGTACTTGGGGGGATTGGGGTTCAGGAAAAGATCTCAGCACTCTTAGCAAAGAGCGTCACCATCAAGTGTCTGGAACTGGCAAAACAAAGTACAAGTAAAATCAAAAGTATTGAAAAAATTAAAGCAGAAATCAACAGAACTGAAAATAAATCAATAGGCTGAGTTCATGAAAAATAAAAATCTGGCTCTCTGAAAATTAAACTTTCAACCAAGATAATGAAGAAAAAACTGTCACTGTCACCCCGTTGTTCATCAATTTGCTCGAGCGGGCCCAGTAACGTCTCCTTTGGAGACTTTTGTTGTTACTGTGTTTGGCATATCGAATACATCACGAGTAGCTTACCAGGTTCTGCCGTGCGGGCGAGATACTCTCGGTAGCTTGCCGGGCTCTCTGAGAGGGGAGGAGGAATTGAACTCAGGTCGGCCATGTTGGCTGCATGCAAAGCAAACGCCCTACTGCTGTGCTATCGCTCCAGCCCATGAAGAAAAAAGAGAAAGAAAATACAAATTGTTTTTGAAGCTGTTTTCTGTTTTTGTAGTGCCAGGGATCAAACCCAGGGCTCGTACACGCAAGGCAACTATGCTCTACAACTAATCTACATCTCTGGTTCCATTAGAATTGAAATAAGGCTCATAACAACTGACTCAATGGCAGTTAAAGGTAATAAAACAATATTATGAATAATTATATTCCTGCAAATTTTATAAACTAGATAAAATAACTTTTTAAAATGCAAATAAACATAGAGAAGTAGATCATCTTTTAAATCTATTAAAAGAAATCAGTAATTAACAAGCTTCCAAAATAGGCAGTACTGGGATAGAGACGCTCATTTTGTGAGTTCTACCAAATGTAAGGAAGAAATGGTAGAAATTTTTTTATAAATTTCTTTCAATAAATTGAAATTAGGGAAAACTGCCTAACTCATTTTATAAGGCCTGGATTTTATAAGGCCTAATACCAAAACAAGACAAAGACATTACAAAAAAGAAAAAGTAAGACCCCAAATTTTTCATGAACATAAATGCAAAATTCTAAATAAGTCCGACAAAATATTAACATATTGAATCCAA